AGCCCCACATCGGGCTCCCTGCTCCGCGGGAAGCCTGCTTCTCCCTCTCCCACTCGCCCTGCTTGTGTTCCCTCTCTCACTGTCTCTCTGTCAAATAAATAAATAAAATGTTAAAAAAAAAAAAAAAAGAATATGTTGTATGACCTGAGTTGTATCTATTTGTCAATATACTGGTCTATATGTGTTACAGAATTTGGTCTGTGATTTGTATTCAGTGTGATCTGGTGGCCACATAACATACCACAAATAACCTAAAAGTTGTACATATTAAATTGGCTTGAGGTCAGTTCATAATTGTTTACAACACTCACCAAATGCTCAGTACTTTGCATATATTATTTAATCTTTATAGTGATCTATACAATAATCCTTGCAATACTCCTAACACAACTGTTACTTTTTGGATTTGGTAAACCATCTATGTATAGGGTGCTGTTAATCGTTGCCATTATTTGAATAAAGAGAAGCAAGATGATCAAATTCACCTATTAGGTGGGTACAATTACCCTGTTTTACAGATTAGGAAATTGAGCCACCGGGAGTTAAGTGACTACTGAAGGTAGCAAAGCTAGAAAGTGACCAATCTTGCATTTAATTTGTTCCTGAGTGACTCTAAAAACCTATCCTTCTAATCATGATGTCTTACTGCATCCATTAATGACTCTTGTTAAATAGAAGAATTTATGAGCTAAGAAGTGAGTTAAGTATTTCTGATAATGCAGTATTTACATTGTAGAGTTTCTTGTGTGGTCAAAAGGTGGAAAATAACTTGTCAAGTCCTAGGGCATGCTGGGTAGCTGTCAGGACCATAGGATAATTAGACACCTTTCAAAGGAGTATTCTCAGCATGGAAAATGTCCTTAAGGACTCTGATTCAAATGACTGATTTCATGACAATGAAGGACTCTGAAAGCAGAACAAGGTTCTTTTATGTAGAGCAAAGGAAATAGTCTAGCATTGAGTCTTTTCAGGGCAAACATTGGAAGCTGAAGATTATCTGTGCTGATTTTTACCCTAATCCCTGTTATTGGGTTTCTGGTTACCTGACCTTAGTGTAGTTTGTACAATATCATCTCTGTAACGTTTGTGTTTCTCGGTTTATCTTGATCAACTATCAGTGCAAAGTGGGAAGCTGCCTTTCATCTGGTTTCCAATGGTGCTAACTAGAAAAGGAGAAACTAAAAAGTTTGCATTGAGCAGAAATAAAGTAGTAAAAGTATTAAAGCACCTGACAGTGAATCTAAAGGAGGTAGTTGAAGAAGGAAGGCTTCCTAGGGAGAAGGTTCACTAAAGAATATTGGCACCATAGGACACTGCGAACAAAGAGGGTTGACTAAAATCTTGATTTACAGTGGTACAAAGTTTTCCTATCTGAACTTCTATAAAGAGTTTTTGTCAGTTCATCCTTATGCTGAAGCTGTTCTCCTAAATCTAATATATCAAAGATCTGTCATCATTAAGGAAGATAATCCTAAGAACTCTTAGCAATATAAGCAATGCTAGCAAAAAAAAAAAAAAAAAAAAAAAAAAAAAAATGTGTAATGCTACACAAGCTTTTCTCTCTGGAAAGAAAATAGAACAGGTTTCACTTTTAGAGACCAGCTAAATCAGGTGGAAGAGCAGAGAGAGGCTTTGTAGCCAAGGAGGGAGAAGAAAGTGAACAAAGGAGCTGTAAAACACAAAATGATTTATTTACAGCTGTTTGTTAGATGAAAGGAGGAGGCATATTTTACTTATCCAATGTGCTTCATTTTTTTAGTGGAAAGAAGATTAACTTTTCAATAAACAGACCTGGCTTTAAAGCCTGGCTTCACCATCTTCCACCTGGGAAATTTACAGCAGATTCTTTAATCTCTCTGAGCCTCAATTTTCCCAGAGGTTCAATGGAGCTTCCAGTATCTGTCTCCCAGCAGTGTTGGAGTCTGTATCTGTCACTAATCTTCCATTTTTGACTTTGGTCAACTCACCCTCCTGAGCGTCAGAAGCTCCATCTTTAAAATGGGAATAATAATGTTTTCTGGCTCTAATTGAGACCTTTTCCCCTGCACATATGGACCAAACATATAGGAATGATGCTCTTGGTAGCTTTTGTTCCATCAAACGAGAATAATAATGACTACCTAGTAGTGGCACTTTAAAGATTAGACAGTAATGTATTTCAGATCCCCAGTTTATGGTAGCCAGGCAATAGATAGTGCATAATATGCATGCAGTAAATATTAGAACTACATTATTAAATTCATACAAGATCTGTAGGTGGCATTGGCTTACTCAATACTTGCTTTCATAGAAAAAAATATATATGCCATAGTAGATGGTTTAAATTTCTCATATTTAAATTGTGTTCTCATATTTAAATTGTGTTCTCCATTTTTTCCCAAAGCATAATCATATCCTCATAGAGAAGGGCACACATACATCATACTCCCTATCTTCCAGAAAAGAAGGCTCATATTTAAATTGTGTTCTCCACTTTTTCCAAAGCATAATCATATCCTCATAGAGAAGGGCACATATACATCATACTCCCTATCTTCCCAGAGAAATTTAGTGATATTTACCAGAGATGATACAACTTTAAGTAGGAAGTCAGACTTGGATTCTGGATTCCTGAATTCCATCCTAGTGATCTCCTCACTACACTGCATTCTCTTTGTTCTGTGGGTCTGGCACACCTTTCTAGAAATCCTCTGTTATGGTAAACTGTAAGAGCAAGAAAAAAAATAATTAAAATAGGCTTTCCTATTATGAGTTCATAATGTGTTGATATCCTTGGCTTATTGTTTTTTAAATGTAAAAAAAGAGATAATGAATTCTCTGTAACATTTAGAGAGGAACAGAGAGAACACACTTTTGCTAAATTGAGTGGACTCATGCCACTGTCAATTTTGAGCCTTGACCTGATTTCAGACCCTTGAAAGTTGAAAATTAGCAAAATGTTTTGCCATTTTTCAGAAACAAAGATTGAAGCTTTTAAGATCACAAATCAAATTCATCAACTTTAGATAGCTAAGGAAAAATATTTTGATCAACAAAGAAAATTAGAATATCAACAAAGTTATTTAATTTTCTTTGAAACACGTCTGCTTATAGTAGTACATGGTTACTGAATACATATTGTTTAAAAGCATTGGGCTTATAAGAATCAAGCCTAAACTGAGTTAGATTCCTTAAGGTAGTTTATTTTGCCCTGCCAAATACTTTACTACTTGATAATTTTTTTCTTTGCATTATTAGAATACTTCTAGAAAGTATCAGAAATATAAAGCAATGGTAAATGTAATATACTATCTATTTTAGTTCAGTTCAACCTACAATAATTTAATGCAACCTATAATACTCAAAGAGTCCACTCTCTAGGGCATAATTCTGGCCCTAAGATAACTAAGGTCTCTGAAGAATTCAATGTCTGAGCTTTATGACAATAAAATCATATAATTACTAACTTTTATTGATCTCTTGCATGCATCAGCCACTCCACCAAGAGTTTTGCACATATTTTCTTATTTAATACCCCCCACAACATCGTTTGGAGATATATTAACCCCATTTTATAGGTAAGGGAACAGTGGCTTAGATTAACGAATATATCCAGGTATACACAGTTCCTAAATGGTTTAATTTATTCACCTAATTCATATATTAACACAAATATGCAGACACAAACCAACTTACTTACGCAAGTAGACACAAACAATTGCAACTTAAAAAAAAAACTGAATATATTTTCCCCTCTTTAACTGAAACACAGGTGTTTGCTGTTACTGTTGTTTCTCCTAACAGCTTGTGCTTAAATAATGACTGTGTGATGGGTAGCATCGTTGTTGTACGGAAAGGGCAATGCTGTTGGTGATCACAGAGGACTGCAAACGCCTTTCATGGCCATTAACTCTAGTCTTAAATGCTTCAGCCTTACCACTACCCTTTGTTCACTTTGTATGATAAATTTAACCAAAATGATACTTAAATTTTAGGTTGACTTCGTAATAAAACTTCTCCTCTTAAACCATCGTTGTGCTTTTCCTAGGGAATTGTGGTAATAGCATGCTTTGAATATACTCAGAACTGTCTTTTATAAAAGGATCCCAAACACACAAGGCCGGAGAGCCTCAGACATGAGTGCATGAGGGGCAAAAGGGTAGGAGGGAAACATGAAGTTTTAAAAAGAATAGACTCCCCCCACCCCCACCCCCATTTTATTCAGTTTTCAGATAGAAAACTCTTAATAGAACATTTAGAAAAACAGAGATATCTAATTCCAAATAGGGGATTGAGTGACTGTATTAGTTTATTAGGCTGCCGTAACAAACTACCACTGATTAGGTGGCTTAAACAACACAAATTTATTTGCTCACAGTTGTGGAGGCTGGAAGAGTTGGCTGCTTCTGTGGCCTCTCCGTGGTTGTGGGTCTTCCCATGGTTGTCCCTCTGTGCATGCATGCCCTGGTATCTCTTTGCATGTCCAAATTTTTATTATAAGGACAGCACTCATATTGGACTAGGGTCCATTCTATTGGCCTCATTTTAGCTTAATTACCTCTTTTTTTTTTTTTTTAAGATTTTATTTATTTGAGAGAGAGAGAGAGAGTGACAGAGAGTGCACAGGTGGGGAGGAGAGGGAGAAGCAGGTTCCCCACTGAGCAGGGAGCCCAATGCGAGGCTGGATCCCAGGACTCTGGGATCATGACCTGAGTGGAGGGCAGACGCTTAATGACTGAGCCACTCAGGTGCCCCTGCTTAATTACCTCTTTAAAGGTCCTCTCTTCATATAAAATCACATTCAATCTAATGGGGATCAGGGCTTCAACATATGAATTTTGAGGGGAGACACAAGTCAGCCCCTAACAGTGACCTTTAGCTGCAAAGAGCTGAGTTCTTACAGATCTAGAATTTCATGTCTCTTTTACAAAATGTTGACTGTAGCTACATTGAGCACAATCTAATTTGCTAATATGCTTTCCTTTAGTTATTAAAAATTATATTCCTTCTTTGCTATGCAGAGTGGGGTTCCTATTACCGTTTCTGGGTTCCCCTCATAAATTAAAGTGAAATTTCCACAATGTCTGGAGCCCCAGATGTCCTGCAAATGAAGGAGGAGGACGTGCTCAATTTCCTCGCAGCAGGAACCCACTGAGGCGGCACCAACCTTGACTTGCAAACAGCGCAGTACATTATGGGGGAAAGAAAAGGATGGCATGATCTCCTAAATCCGAGGAGAACCTGGGAGAAGCTTCTGTTAGCAGCTCATGCCCTTGTTGCCACTGCCAACCCAGCTGAAGTCAGCGCCAGATCCCCGGGGAATCCTGGCCAGCGAGCTGAAGTCTGCCGCAGCCGCTGGAGGCGCTCGGCTCCTGGAACCTTCGCTCAGCCACCACTGGCGGTGGTTCCCAATCCCAGGGCGGCGCGCCAGGCGCTCGCGGAGGCCTCCTGGGTTAAGGCGCCGGTCACGGTGCGGCAGAACACAGACGCTCCTGCGCACGAGGTGGACCCGGCCATCTCCCTCGGAGGCTCTGAGGGGGTGGGTGCCCCGGCAGTTCTGCGCATGCGGGGCGCCCTTTCCGCGAACCCCCGTGGGAGGTCCCACCTGGTCTCCGCTTCTACGCAGACCCCGAAGCGACTGGAAAGGAGGAGCAGACCCTGCCGACATGGCTGTGACCAAGGAAGAATTTCAGGGTGAATGGACTGCTCCGGCTCCCAAACGGACTCTTACTCAACCTGAGGGCCCAGATGGGTGTGAGGGCATGCAGGTGTCCTCTGCATCTCTTCCATGGTTCTCTGCTGGAGTGGAGGGACCAACCTGCCCGGGAACACTGGACCACAGCACCCCCGTTCCAGCGACTGAATGGGTAGGAACAACCACTGAGTGGTCTTAAAGCTGTTCTTCCACACGCACTCCTTATTTTTTAAACGCTGATTTAAAATTTTTGTTTTTTAGAGACGTATTTATTTATTTGAGACGGTGGGGGAGGGGCAGGTGGAGAGGAAGAATCTCAAGCTGACTCCTTGCTGAGCTCAGAGCTGGTGGTGAGGCTCAGTATCAGGACCCTGAGCTCATGACCCGAGCTGAAACAGAGTCGGTCCCTTAATAGACTGCCATCCAGGCGCCCTTCTTCCACACACTCTTAAACAGAAAATGGAAATGAGGTTGATGAAAAAGGAACAGTTTCAAAAAAAAAAAAATGACATTCCTGAATTAGCTTTAGTAATATATACCTGTGTGTGCATATATCAATACACAGACAGGTAGAGAGACAGCTATGGTTATAGCCGCCTTTTATTCACTCACACATTTACAACCAAAAGTATGCATCCATTTATTAACCAATTAGATGTAACCAAATGAATAACCCAAATCACACATTTTCACCATGCTAGAAGCGTTCTTTTTTAAAAATGCATTTGACTAAGTTTCTCTTTTAGATTAATTTACAATTTCATGTTACATTAAGCCTGATTTTTGGATATATTTATATAGACTAAAATAAATTATCTGCAGTTGTACTGAGTTAAAAGTTGAGATATCTCAAGTACATTCAGCAAGAGCCTTGCTGTTGTGGATTGAATTTTCCAAACGTGGCTGTGACAACGTTTCCAATTCCACACTCTTGCCAGTTCTGTCAAGAGGGGAAGTCTGTGTCTCTGCCTGTCTCCCACCTTCATCTTTAAAACTTGGTGGGCCTTTATGACTGCCTCAGTAAATAGCAGAAGGGATACTATGGGACTTCTGAGAACAGGTCCCAAAAGGTAACATAACAGTTATTTTTATTTGCTTATTTGACTATTTTTAGGTAAGTTCTTCAAATATGTTTGATTTTTTAATGCTGCATGTAGTTCAAAATTTTGCTTAATTTCTTTTTAATGATCCATATGATAAATATTGATGTTCTCATCTGATACATTTGTTTGCTATTCTGTAGAGAATAGCCATCTGTTTTTATTGTGGAGGTAATATCTTATGAATCTTGAATCTGTTTACTGTCTTGAAGTATGACATAAGCCAGCACAGCATACCGAAAAGTTCATTAATATGTTGGCTGTTATGAATTATGAATATTTTACTTTTCTAGATCAGTTACTTCATTTATTAAAAAATGGGAGGTTATACCAAGTCAGTATATGACCATGAAATTACCTTGTTACAAAATCTTTTTTAACAAGGGCGCCTGGGTGGCTCAGTCGGTTGAGCGACTGCCTTCGGCTCAGGTCATGATCCTGGAGTCCCTGGATCGAGTCCCGCATTGGGCTCCCCGCTCAGCGGGGAGTCTGCTTCTCCCTCTGACCCTCCTCCCTCTCGTGCTCTCTGTCTCTCATTCTCTCTCTCACAAATAAATAAATAAAATCTTAAAAAAAAAAAATCTTTTTTAACAAGATCCTGATATGACTCTATGGTTAAGAAAGTTTTTGGAGTAATTTCTAGTTGTTCAATTCCTTAATGTAGGAAGATTTCAAACTCAGTAGAATTACATTTAATTCTGAATCATCATCAATAATGGGAACAAGCTAATAATAATTAAAAGGGGTGAATAATCTCCAGATTTTGTACTTTTGGATTTCAAATGAGTTTTGCATTATTTTGTCTATTGTTATATAGTCCTAATTATTCTTTCTCATTGAGATCTAAAATTTAGTATTAATTATAAGATCCTTATCAACCATATATAGTCCCATCAAAATTTTTTAAAAGGATATACTTTTCATATGATGTAGTCATTCCACTCCTCAGAGAAATGAAGGCATATGTCCATACAAAGACTTAGGTACAAATGTTCACAGCTTCTTTATTTGTAGTAGCCAAACAATGAAACAACCCAAATTTCCAATAAGTAAATGGATAAACCATTTTACATATATACAATGAAATACTGCTTAATAATCAATAAAAACCAACTAGTGATACACACAAAAAAATGGATGGGTCTCTATTATTAAAATATTATATGGAGTGAAAGAAGTCAGACCAAATAAAGGAGTACACACTATATGATTCCATTAATCAAAATTCTGACAAGTGCAAAATAATCTATAGTGACAAAAACCAGATCAGTTTTTGCCTGGGGACAAGTGGAGAGTGGATGAGAGGGATACAAAAGTATATGGGAAACTTTTGATGTGATGAGTATGTTCATTCTTGACTAGTCTGATAGATCCATGAGAGTATACACATATATTAATACCTATCAGAATGTACACATTAAATATGTCCTTTTTTGTGTGCTAAATATACCTCAAAATAGCTTTAAAAATAATATAAAAATCTTTAAAATAAACAAAAGGTTGCAAGAGCTATGTAAAGAAAATTTTAAGACTTAAAATATATGTACGGTATCTGTGGACATTTTATTAAATTCTTGGCACAATTTTTATGCCTCTACTGAATGGCACGATGAATATTTCAGTTTCTAGTTTTAATAATTATGTAGTTTTTAAGTTTTTTAAATAACGACTTTACATTAATTTGAACTATATATTTGAACAATTAATATACATCTATGCTCATAATGAGTAATATATAATTTAAAAATTCAAGTGTAACCAGTGTTAATTTATTGCTACAGCAATACTCAGTTTGCTGTCTTGCTGAAAACTGTGATTTTCTAACCTGATTTAATGCCAGTCAATTACTCAGCATAAATATTTGAACCAAATTGTGATACAGGTTGTGGGTAGTGAGATAATTTAAAGAATCAGAGAAAGTTTGAAATCAGATAAAGGGGTGAAGATTCATGTAACTATAACAGCAAGGGCTAAATACTTTTAAAGAATTACAGAAAAATAATTACAAAAATAATTATTTAAAAAAATGAAGAATTACCAAAACAAAAACAAAAACAAACCCAGATTAATTCCTGGGGCAACTCGTCATTTTCAATGGATAGGTATTACATTCCTATAGATTACTTATGTCTGAAAAGACCAGGGATGTCCAATGGAAGAAAGGTTGTTTGAGTTGGCATTTGAAGGCAAGATAGAATCTGAACATTGGGATTTGTTTTGGAGAAAGAATATTTCAAATGAAGGGAACTATCTATGCAAAAACAGATGGCTAAAAATGCCAGATGCCTGTAAAAAACTTTGACTGGTTCAGGTTGGCTTGAATATTTCTGCATGAGGGCCAGTGCTTGGAGTATAGTTGGAGAGGTAAATTGAGATTAGATCATATCTAAAACACTGCTTATTTGGTTAGACTTGAGTTGGTAAGCTACAGTGAACCATCGAAGTTGTTGACCATTTTCATGTCATGATAAGATCTATGTTTTAGGCAAATGATATGGCAACAGAGCATAGGAGAAGTTGTAGGAAAGAGAAAAAAAAAATTCTGCTCTAAATAGTTTTTCATTTTTGAAGTTGTCACCTCTGTTGCCAAAAGATACTTTCTTACGCAGATAACATACTGCCCTTATTAGGGGTGCCAAGAAAGAGGAGTTAGTTATTAGAAATAGGATAGGTTGAACAGCTAGTGACTATACCATCCACCTGTAGACTTTGATTTACTTATACTCTGATCATACTGGCACTCCAGGTCATACTCTGGATGAGAGGGATATTTATCTCCCCTAGTAGGGCAGCTTTTGGCTAATTATAACTCCCATGCTAAGACAGGGTAAATTAAGAGACGGGACTATGAACGTGACAGACAGAAAGGATCAGGTAGGCATGATGATACATCTGTGGAAATTAGGTAAAATTGGGATCAGCATGCAAATTTAAACTAGGCAGTGGATTAGAAGGAGTCATGAGGGGTGGTGAGGGGGGTGTGGGATTGGGAGAAGAGAGAATTTTTAGCATGTGCCAGTTTCCCTGGTGTAAATACTCCTGCCACAGTCAGTTTGAAGCTACCAAAGTGGGATCAATAGGCACACAAAATTTTTGAAATTGAGACAGTCCATTCTTGTGAGCCAGCATGGGCCAGCTCCAGCCCTCTACAGTACTGCCACAGAGATTTATAACTCAGGCAGGGATAAGGGACCAGAGATCAGGGAATTAGGCAGACAGACTGGGCAAGAAGTTGTCTGAATCCAGGCAAGGCATCTGGGTTGTATATACCAATATCATCAGCAAGAAAAAGCTGATTATATTCCTGAAAATTATATGAACCTCCTGTTCTTTTCTTTCATCTCTGTGGGGGTAGGTCAGAGGTAGGTGGAGGCAAATTGGAATATCTGCCTGAGTTGTGAGCAAGGGGCCTAGGAAGCATCTTTTGGCAGTCACGGTCTCCTTTCTCCTGGATAGTTATGATGGGTTTCTGGATCATTAGTAGGGCGTTGGCTCCTCCTTTTGATTAGAGGCTTCATTCTTAAGCCTATAGCTTGGCAAGTATGGAATAAGGAAAAGTAGTCATTGAAGGAAAGTATTTCTCCATTTGGTAGTGAGTTGCTTGCTTCTAGCCAGTTTTTTAAAATGAGATAAATGAGATAATTTGTACAAAAGTCTTTCAGCCTGCCTCCCTCTCTCTAAATGTTCTGCCTTGCTTAAAGCAAGCTATCATTCCAAGTGACACCATTCACAAATATGGTATTATAAGAATATTCTTTAGCTCACATTCTAGAATGGGAGGTTTCAGGGTTTAAATCTGTGACATTGTTTTATTTCCAGAAGAAATTTACAACCTAAATAATAATAAAAGAATTCTGAAATGACCTGGTGACTATAGTTTTCATCACTCTGTAAATGTTTTAAAAATAACTGTCCTTAACATACCAATATTTTTTATGAGTTTGGCCTTTGCATACAGTTTTAGTAATAGTATTCCCATTGATAATTTCTGCCAATTTGTTAGAAGTTTAGGGAAGCCCAGAGAAGCCTTCCAGAATGTCAATAAAACAATTAAATATGGTATTTAAAGGAT